GATGACAAAGAGAAAAACACTACAGGAGAAACTAATGAAACAAATGCAGATACTGGAGAAATTGATGTGAAAACTGCCACTTCAAATAACCTTGACTTAGTCACCGAGGACAATGTAACAAATGATATTACTGAAACTAATGTTCCTAATTCAGATGATGCTGTACTTGACGCTATGATAGATGCTATTGTTGACGTTAATAATGTGAATACAAAGCATTCCGAATCTTCCGCAGATTTAGAAAAACTATTACCAAATGATTCACCAAATGACTCATCTAATGATTCATCAAATAATTCACAAAATGATTCAAATAATTTGTCAAATGACTCATCACATGATTCATCAAACCAACTGCCGAACACGTTATCAAACTCTAATTATACTTCAGGAACAGTTACCTCTACTAATGAGAAACCATTATCTTTAGCTACTTCTTCAACAGCTCAATTACATCATCCTCCATCATCACCAACAGCAGATTCCACCCTTGATAATTCTTCACAACCAAATGTGCCTTTAGAATCAGACTCGACATCTTTTCCACATTCACATGTTGCTCGATCAATTCCTCCCACACCTACGACACCATATTTTCCAGCTACGGAAGGGTCCACAAATTTACCAGAATTTCCATCAGAACCTATATCTGGAATGCCATATCAATCGCGATTATGCATGTTATATCCATTTACATTGTATGACGCATTACAACATGCAACTTTTAACACTTCCTTATACGCTAGTTCTCGTCGAGCAATGCAAATATTACAAGCTAGTCGTACTTATTTTGCTCATGAATTGCTTGGGCGATTGCAAACCATGGAAAATTTTTCAGATGTTAATGAACAAAATATTGAAGATTTCTTTTTTGAACCGGATGAACTTCCTAAAGTTCCTGAAGAAACAAAAAAAATCAAACAATGCCTTGATATCGTTCGTGATGAAATTAGCACTTTAAGGCAACAATGGAATTCAGCGTCTTGGGTAATGACAGCTATTGAATGGGATCGTCAAAGAACAATGAAATCTTATAATTTTGGTAGTCGATCATTATCACACAATTTTTCTAGAAAATCTTTACTTTCGAATCGTTCTACTTCAATTCGTAGTTCTAATAGAGAAAGTGATAATTCAAGTATGGTAAAAGGAAAGGGATCTGATACCGCATCTCAAATTGAAACTCTTCGAGATACTATGTACCATGCACCTGATCGTGCATGGAATAATATTCGCCTTCTAGGGGTTAATCTACCAACGTCCGATATTAATGATTTTGTATTTGTAAAAAATAAACAATCTAATAGTAAGCAAAAGAAGCAACCTAATAAGAAAACATCCAAATCTCAAAAGATGGCAGCCAGCAAACCTATTCCACCTATTCTAGCATCATATTTATCAACATTACCGTCCGTCTCTTCGAAAAATCGGTCATCAACATCATCATCTGTTGATAATCAACAAATTAACACA